GTGTGTGTGTGTGTGTGTGTGTGTGTGTGTGTGTGTGTGTGTGTGTGTGTGTGTGTGTGTTTTTGTGTGTGTGTGTGTTTTTGTGTGTGTGTGTGTTGTCTCTGCATTTGTGTTTGTGTTATGATTGTGTTTGTTTTTTTCTTGCGTGTGTCTGTGTGTTTGGTGCGTTTGTGCGTGTAGTGGCCGGTGCTGAGAGGGGCATGGGGGTAAAGAGGATAGTAGCATGTGTGCAAGTCCCTGTGAAACCGGTGCAGATCAATAGGCAACTGCCCCTCCTGCGTTATTGCACGCCACGTTGCCACGGTTCTGTTGCACGACCTAAGCCCGAACCCACTGCAGTGACTTTCCAGCGGGTCGGTGCAAGATTTGTTGCGTCTATTCCCAAGAGGCTAATTCTGCGCCCCAAGGTGGCCATTTCATGGAGATGGCTTCGAAAGAATGGCTGCTGCCTTTGCCAGGCGGGTTTGTGCCTATGGGTGACTCATCTTATTATTTTTTTCCCGGGGACCCCCGAAAATGGAGGGGATTCCACTTGGTTTCCATTTAAGACCAGCAACCGGTTCCCCTCAAAAGAGGACATGATGTGGGACATGCGAATGAGTCGATTGCCCGCCTCAAGCATGACCCCACTGGGACTGGAAGCGGTTGGTGCCCTGCGGAAAGTGATGCGACACGTCAATTGAGGGTCGAGGAACAGATGCGACAAGTTCAAGGATCTTCGAGTCATGCAGTGTGCCTTGCTCTTTGGGCTACGCTCTTTGGGTCTGTTTTGTTTTGCCCTTCTTTCTTTCCCTTTTTCGGACAACCAAAGGGCCCCACCCATTTGTTGGTTCCGATTCCTATTTTGAGACAAAGCCGTAGGCCATTCAACATCCCAAAATGATGGAGGGGCGGAGGATGCAAGTAGATGTGGCTATGAATTTGAATGGGGAACCCCCTCCAAAGTGGTTGGTGGACATAGATCCCCACCTACATGATGTCCGCCAAAGGGTCCCTAAATAAAAATCAGAGCCATATAGATGATGATGATGCTGTTCCAGACGCTGTGTGAGGATGACGAGATGGGCGGTCCACCTGCTCGATATTCAGACAGCCAAGGACAAGCCTCCGAATTCGAGATAGCTGCACTTAAAAAGTCATCAAAGGGGAGAGGGTTTAAGAGACTGGAACCAGAAAATTGGTATGTTGCCCTCGCTTCAATTGCAGTGAGTTGGGAGTGTTGCCCGGTTGCATCATGGGCTTGTGCGTCTGGCTTGCGACAAACATGCTGAGCGAGTTGTCAGCTTCACTGTGGTAAGAGACTTCATGGGGGATGACGCGTTGCAGCTCAATGAAGGATGACTGATTAGCCTCTTACCGCAGCTGCCATGCACCTTAGCCACACCGGCATAGAAGGAGATCATAGGCGACAAATGAAGCAAACTGCAGATCCCACCAATCCTTGACTGTGGTCACGCCCAATCCTTTGGATCCCTGAGGCAAACTTAAGACCATGGCCAATAGCAAGCCATGGGTCTGTTTTTCAGGGCGCTGCCGCAATAGGATTTCCCAGTGGTTTCCCCTGAAAGCCACCAAAAAGAGGGCCAATCACAAAAAGACAGCATTGATTCAAAGGTTTACGTCACTGCAAGACGTGAGGACTGGGTGTCCTACGAAAGCCAGTCGACCGCCTCAGTGGGGCCTGTAGGAATATGTTCCCTCTAGTTTAGACAACCAACTTGAACTGTTCTATGGAGGGGAACCATCCATCAGCGCGACTTACAGAAGGAGGTTTGACTATGGCACAAATGGGAAAAGCGGAAAACCATCCTCAACCTCCCGTCCGGCTTCACGTTTGCAAGGCCGGAGCTCCAAGAAACCATGAGTGGCAGTTGCTGATGCTAGAATGTTGTGCCAAAATGTGTCATTCAATGCACTCGAAGCTCTGAGATGTGTGTCTCCCTGATTCGAGGTGGGGATTGGCTGTCTTGACGCATTGTTGTTACTCTGAGGCGCATGAAAAGCAATCAACATACCCCACACACACACATACATACATACAGGCGGGGCCAGACAGATGAATTCATATGGGCTGCTTAGCAGCGTGTTTGCAGCCACCGACATTAAACTTGGAAGAAGTCTAGATTCAGTGCTTGCATGATTGTTAGCGGGAGCACGTTCCTTGAAAAAAGCGATATGGCATCAGTTGAGCTCAACTGAGCACTCTTTAAACATGTGGCATGGGGCATAGCCTATGGCTCCATTTTGGGGTGGATGAACATCCATTTGCCACCTATTTTGATGTTCGCCAGGGGTACAGGGTCTTGACCCACAGCCATGTATTTGTTGCTTTGCCTGTATCGAGCAACCCTGGTGTGGCGAGTTCGACCAATTCTCACCGCGCCGCGATCGAGGGCGCCTCGCCGACCCGCTCGCAACTTGACTCTCCGCGAGACTCGTCCAAAGGAGGTGCCGAGGGTGGCCGGTTGTCAGTCGCCGGGGCTAGAAAACCAGGCAGCTTGAAAGAGTTACCATCCAGCGGACCAAACGGGTAAACCAGCTGATTCCGAGTATGATATCAAAGTGATGCTGGAACACTAGCCACGAATCTCGTATGTGCTGACTGCAACCAGCGGTGCTATGGTGTCGCTTCAGTCTGCAAGATTGACTGGTGACCAAACCAACCGCTCACGAACGGCTCGACTGCCTTGCAAACAGGTGCAACAGGCCAGGACTGAGTTCCCAGATTGCCGAAGTTGCGGACTTAAAGAGAAGCTACACAGGCTGATTTCACGGTTTGCTTATGCGATTGCAGCCTCTCGCATCGCGAGCCAATGCGTTCTTGCCGGGCTAGGGCATCCGCTCTTTGAGAATATGTTAAGCGCTGCCTTGGATGCCTTCAGAAGGGAACATGATGTTTGAGGGGCAACCGGCGAAATCTCCGCGTTCACATGACTTTGAGTTGTTGTTTTGTCATGCCGCACGAGACGAGCAGGAGCTTCATCCAGACGAGCCCGGTCCTTCAACATGAAGCAACTCAGTGGCACTTGTGTTTATGCTCAGCGCATTCAGGATCACAATCGCTGTCAAAATCAGAAGACAGTACTGCTGATTTCAGACACGGAAAGAATGGTTCGCACTCACCTACTTTGCTCCCTATGTTCGGCTAAGATGAAGCTACTCTCGCCCATTGGGATCCACAGGTGTTGGGCAGAATTGTTCCATTGTTTGATTTCCCCAAGGTAGACTTAAACACAAAGTGGTTGCCAAGGCGCCAAGGCGGGAGCTTCTGGGTGAAGTCTTTGGGGCAATCCCGGCTGCATTCTGTTTGTTCTTTGAAGTTCCACCTGAATGAAATGGAAATATTGTTCCATTCAGCAAGTATTCGGAAGACTGCAAGCACACGTCTGATTTTGGCTTTAGTTTCCGATGCGGCTGCCAGCCGTATCGGCTCAGAAAGCCAGATTTTGATGGTGCACGCACAAAGGAATTGTTGGACACGTTTGAATGACTAGAGGATATTCCACAATTTTGCAAGGGTGTGCACTGCAGCTGAGGACAGATCCAAGGACAGGCTAGCTGCTGATGACAGGCGTGGGGGCGCGCTCTCGTCGCGACAAAGGTTGGAACTCAGAGAAACTTGACCTGGCCTTTGCGTGGGTTTGGCAAGCCCTTAGGCTTGTCGGTTTTGTTTTTTAATCGAGGCTTTGCTGAACTTGCGAAGATTGTAGTGCTCGGCGAAATGTTAAACTGGCGCCCCCATCTCAGATGCATTTCCCTCCCGCCTGTTTCGCATGAAACCTGACAGGGGGTTCCTTTAAAAGGAACATGGTTCAAACCAGGACCCTTTCCCCGAACGTCAGGTTCCATGTTCGTCGGTGGGAGGAGGTTTGCTTTCGGTTCTGTTTGGGCATTCGGGTGCTCAAAGGCCCGAGACCTCGTAAGAACTGGGCCTGAGCCATGTAGCCCGTTGTTTCTCGGCAGAACGCGGAGAGAACCCATGGCCTTTGCTACGAGGTTCAGTGCTTCAGGACAAGAGTGGCTCCAAAGCTGCGCCTCAATCAGTCTAGAAGTAGAGAAGGCGAGTGAAAACAGCAGTTGTGACGGTCGATGTCAACGAGACAACTGTGACACCCGTTTCTTTGCTTTGCTCCCGAGAGGTTTCAGATCAGTCAATGCCACGAGCTCTCGTCACAGCTCAGAAAACGGGCCGTTGGGCCTGTGGTTTCGACATCGCTGACTCTGGCGCCGCAGGAATTCCGCTGGACGCATCATTCGCTTTCATGTAAAAAGGCGTGCATATCCAGCGACCAAGTTGATTTTGTTGAGCAGGATAAGGCAAGGCTGGGACTTGATGTTAAATTTGTGTGTTTGTGTGTCTGCGTGTTTGTGCTGTTTGCGTGTCTGTGTGTCTGTGTGTCTGTGCATGTGTGTGTGTGTGTGTCAGTCAGTCAGTCAGTCAGTCTTAGCTGAAATCTGGCCGCTACTCTTCCCTAGCATATGCGTGTTAGGGAATTGGAATTGTGCTTTATTCGCTTCAACTCCAGAACTCAATCAAAATTGTCACTGTCTCTTCCACGTCAGGGTCCAAGCCATCTCTGATCTAGTAGCGACATGTCGTTTAGCAAACGCCCCTTTCTGAGCCACCATCCTTGAGCTAGCACGCTCCTTTCAACGTGATCCCTGGTAGCGCGGTGTGACAACAAATAGCTGAATGATGCACGGAGGTAAAAGGTTCAAATGACCTGCTGGGCTGCACTCTTTACATGTCTTTTTGTTTTGATCTGGCTTCCTGGGACATGTTGCTTGGGGCATTGATAGCTTGTTTACTGCTGAGACAGTTGGTAAATGAGCGTACCGCAAAAGAAGCAGAGACTTGCCCAAATGCCATGGCAGTCTTTCCAGGGCGGCCTCCCAGAGCGCAGTAGCACCAGTCCCAAGGAAAGCCTCCGTCGCAACGTGGTGTTGGTCACCCGGGAGGGTGTTGCCTGGGCACGCATGCACTTTGTTGCCAGAAGGAGAAGCAAAAGATAAGAGCCATACCATTTGGCGAATGGTCCCATGTTAGCTGCCTTCTTTCCAAGACCACTTCCGGAAAGGCTGTAGCCTGGACTGGCATGACCTTGGTGTCAAGGAGAAATCTGGCATCCCGAGTCGCCATTTTTTCCACGGTGGAATCGGGCAGCACAGGCTCACACCAAGGGCATCCTCTCAAGTCAACTCCCGACTCCCCACAGCTTCTGAGCTCGGACGGCATGCCAAGTCGCCGGTATGCGATCATTGCTTGCCCAGTGTGGATTGAAGATAAAACACTCAAGCTTTATTGAGGGGCGTGATAGTCCAGCCATGTTTCTTGACTGGAGTTGACACCAAACTGGATCAGGAAGCACACAAACCAATCTGGCTTAGAAGAACTCATACTATGCGTGCTTGAATCTGGCAACGATTTCCATAATCCGTTGAGCTTGGCAAGCAGAGCGGAAACGGTCAAGCTTCCGTTTAGTACAATGAAACGGCAAAAGAGCCCGGCATCAATGAGCTTGAATGCCTTGCAGCAGAGAGGCGGGAGATTCACGGCACGCAGATGCCAATCCGATGCATGCGAGACTTGGTGTAAAGTTTGTTTGACATCCCGTTCATGAACGCCAGATTCTACAGAAGGTCTATCTTGAATCTAACATCGTAACAGTACTATTTCAATAGCCAGCGTTGACACTTGAATGATCACTTGGCCAACAGAATTGACGCAGGCTGGCGACAAAGGTCAATTGTCCTGGCTGCTGTTGCCGGAGGCTTAGGTGAGTCCTCGTGCACTGCAATGGTGCTGCACGGTTCCAATGAGTTTTTATCATGGATAAGCCGCGGCAGGGTAAACTAGTATTCAATCCAAATAGGAAACCAGACGCCTGGTGGTCAGTTACATGTTGGGGTAGATTGAAGCTGACCATGCACAAACCAATGGCAGTGTCCTCACTACAAATCACATAGCAAAGCTGGATTGAGGGACTGCATTGTTTGTATTTCCGTGGGCAAGCCATCCACATGCGCAAACTGGTGCAGTGTGTATATTGTTGGCAGGGTCAACATGAAGTTGATGAAGGTAGCCTTTGTCTTTTTTTCCAGAGCAAGCACAAAAAGGTTGTGAGAGGCACCCCTTCTCATCTTTCATACATCATGGCAAAGCGACAAGTGCTATGCCAGCTCTAAATGCTCAACCATCGCACATTCACCGAAAGCTGCCGGCCGCGGGCATTTCTCAATTTCTGTCGCTGCGTTCACGGCAGGCACTCGTGGGCCTGGAGACAGCATTTGTGAATTGTCATAGAGGACAGCCGGAACGCGCGAAGAGCTTTGGCATGAGTCCGCCCAAGTGAAAGGCTGAGGTTGTTTTGGTCTGGTTCATGCAGATTTATGTGGTGGGTCAGAATCCCGTACCGCCAGTGAACATCCCAATCCAACCACTAAAATAGACTAAAATGGGTGGTGGTGCACCTACCCCAAAATGGTGCCATTGGTTTTGACCCGCACCCATATGATTGTAATGATTGTAAGACGAATTCTGAAGAGTTCTGTGCGCTTCTTGGCCGCGATGTAATTTGTTTCGGTTTCGGCCCGGCAGGGCTGGAGCGGCCGATCGTGTCGGTCAAGGCATGGAACATGTACAGCTTTGGCATGATTTGACATGCTTGGATGTCATGCTTGCCTCATCCAGGCCAAGAAAAAGAAGGCTGTGGAGCCTGATCTCAAGATCACTCCTCGATCGGAGGAGCTGCGTTTTGGCGAGGGGAAATTGCAGGACAAACTTGCAACGGAGAATTCTGGCTGCATGAGTATTGCGGTAGTGCAATGCAAGCAACTATGGACAAAATGGACGCACGGCAAGTTTGACAGCAAGCACTTTAGAGCGGGATCTGAGAATTGATCAGCATGACACTTTCCTTTAAGCGTTTTGAGCAGCATTCGAACGTAGTTGTGCTTCAATGCGCGTCAAGTTTCTCGTTGGTTGGGCTGAGCGAGGATTGTATGGATGCAAAGCAGAGCAGGCATTGAGCATGCATGAGGGTGTGCCTCTTTGGAGGTTCCAGTCGTTTGGTTGGTTGCAAAAGGAAACCAAGAGGAAAACCAAAGCCAAAATGGGGGGGGCCTTAAAAAGACACATGCCCATACCGTTCCTTTTCCCGGACCATATGAGATTGAAAAGCTGCGAAGTGGTAAAGAACGGCATGGCTTACGGTTTCTAAGATGTGGCATGGACCCATCACAAGTCTTCAGCATCGTAGATACAATCAAAGCCCGAGTAAGTGAAGGCTAGTCAGGGACAATCCCAAATATAAACAGGTGCGGCCGCCTTATTAATTATTTGTTTTATAGTTTTGAGTAGACCATTGTAATACCGATCGGTTTTAATTATGACTCCTGTTCGGAGCTTGGCAGGACTGGTCCGCATGGTACCTGGATGTCATTGCAGCTGGTGATTTACTGGATGACGCCCCTGTGTGCCTTTGCCTTTAATAGAAGCAAAGAGCAGCACCAGGACTGCATGGTTCTGTCAGATGCACAAATTGGCGAATTCATGGGGTATCCGTCAACAGCTGCGTTGGTGTCCCAATGGCGTCTTGCCAAAGTTGTTTTTGCCGATCGCAGCGGGTTGAGAAGCCACACTCAGAGTCTTTGTACAGATGCTAGAAGTGTATGCATTGCAGGCGCGGATGTAAGATTTTCAAGCCGAATGGCTTCGCGGTGCCGGAAGCCAAGCTGTTGCTTGCATTGCAGCAGATGACGAGAGATGTCTTGAGGTGGGAAGGCATTCAACGGCTTCTTGATCCAAAGATCAAGGCCTGGAACCAGTCCACCCAAAAAAAACTCTCTGCGATAGGACTTGTGAAAGGCTTGCAGGCTTACTGTACCTTTTTCGTGGGCAGTCAGCATTCCTTCCTGGGTTTCATGAAACTTGATCAGGAGATGGGCGTTCAGAATGCCTACTTTCCGCTTCTTATCCCGGTCTTAGCCTTGAGCGGCATCGGACGGCCATTGGACGCCAAGTACTGACACTGACGTTGCATCGAGTCCAATGTGAGCTTGTCTCACAGCTGAAGGCATGGGTAGATCAGTTCCTGAAGGGGCCTGGGTCAAGGTGAGCTTCCTGAGCAAGGAGGCGAGTCATGTGGACGGTTTCGCCAAGGAGATGGGTTGCCTTTCTTCACTGATGGCCAAAAGGAGAACGACAAACCCAAAGTTCAGCCAAGTCCATTCCAAAAGAGTAGCTCCAGCTTCAAATGTTCAAAGTTGATGAGTCAAATGTGCAGCAAAGTGTGTGTGTGTGTGGGCTCCCAGCCATCCCCTTAGCTTGTTAGCCTTTTAGTGTTTAGTGGTAGTTTCCATTTAGCCCACTAAAAGTTAAACTTTTAGCGGGGGATTTGAGGGCAGCCCAGGTGTGTATATGTGTGTGTGTGTCCTTTCTTAAACGAAGGAACTTACCTATTTTCGCCTTCACAAACTCGGCGTGCGGTACGTACACTGGCGTTTCAGGAGTGCGCAGTGGTGACGCACTACAGGTTGCGCGGCGTTTCAGAGGCCAGGCTGCATTTCTTGAGCTTTGCGCTCACTGCTTAAGCATCCTTTTCTTCTGGTGTAGAAGAGCAAGGCTCAAAGTCCCTCATGGTCATAGAGTTTTATTTGAGGAGACTTGGTCTTGAACGTTCATCATTTGTAAAAATAGACAGCTTCGCATAATTGTCACTGCTACCAATGACCTGTTGGCCGTATTGTGACTGGCTCAAACTGTTTGTCATGTGAATTGAGTCATGGCTTGCTCAAGGCTCGACATTGTGGTTTTTCAGCCAGAAGCTTGGGTTTGGTTACCGGGTGCTGCGAAAGAAATGCTCTCGCTCAACTATCTTCCCCAAACACACCTCTAGCCCCCCAACTTCCATGTGGTCAAGGAGTGCTAACTGATTGTTTTTTTGTTGACGTATACATGTATATACATGTACATATATATATATATATATGCATATGTATACGTATATGTATTCAGATTATATAATATGATGATATATATATATATATACATATAGACATACATACATATAGAAATACATACATATATATATATATATGTGTGTATGTACAACCCCCCCTCATGGACCCTGGTTTTAGTGCCTTTTGGGGTTGACAAATCTAGAATCTAGACATTTAAATTCTCGCATTTCCAGTTTTGGGTCCCCAACGCCTGATAATGTGGAGAGCGGAGTCCTCCGAAATCTCCCAATATGATACCCGTTCCAAATAGGATTTTACTTCAACTAGAATTGGAATTTTGAATATAGTTTAGTAAGGATATAGTTGTCCAAAATGTGTTTATGTTCAATCATAACTTAAATAAGCAAATCCGTTCCAAATAGGAGTTACATGAAAATGTAAATATAGTTTTGGGAAAACTCCAACTAATCTTTAACCAGTTTATTCCCAAATATAATTTAAGTGTTAAGTAGAATCTAATACGAACACATTTTAATTAGCATTTGAGAACGATTAATTTAGAAGCTAATTCTCAAATGTGATTCATTTTAAATATGGCTAAACATTTAAAGGACTTCTAAAAGGAACATCGAAATGCGATTCACAAGAAAGGTCCGAAATCAAACTTGTTACACGGTGTTTCAACATGGGCATTTCAAGGGAAGAGAGGTTCAAATTCTAAAACTACCTCGAACCGGGGATTCTAGCTTAATCAATTGTATTTGAAGTCTTATTTAGGCAGGAAAACATAATCCATTCTATCTCAAAAGCGGAGGTAGTAGATGAGCAGAGGTGGACAGGTGGTTCAGGGGGGTTGACGGTGTGTGAACATAAATATATATATATATATATACACACAAGTAGAACCCCTCATGATCCTGCGCCTCTTCATAAAATGCTGCAAATGCAGTGCTTTCAGCATTACACCCACCTTTACCTACTGAAAAAAGGGTTCAACATGAGCATAGCTTATATGAAGGAGACCGCTCACCAAAACAACTTGAAAGTTTGTCTAATTAAGAACTTGATCGCTAATCACTTGAAAGTATTTTACCACTGGATGGAAGATTCAAGATTGAAGATCACACAGAAATCTTTCCTGAGAATCGTCAATCCTGGCCAAGCCCAAACAGCATTCAAGTTCTTCTAACACTCGAAAGTGCTTTACCACTGGATTGAGACAACAGCTTTCCTGAGAATCATCAATCCTGGCCAGCCCCAAAAAACTTTCAGGTTGTTTAAAAAACCTCGAATGTATTTTACCACTGCATTGAATATTCAAGATTGAAATCTTGTCCGAGAATCTTGTCCTCTCAGAAATTACGGCAACTTGGAGAAACGCATATGACTACGGATGGGTGCGAATACTTGGTTGCGGAAGTATGTATCGAACACCTAGAGTACTGGGACAACCCTGGATTTTTCGGATTCAAGATTCAAAATTCCCAAGAATAGTTTCTCAGAATCTTGAAACTTGAATCCCAGAATTAAAAGAATAAGGGTTGTCCCAATACTCTGTGATGGATGCAGACTCTGTCAGATGGCAGATGTTGATACCTTTGCTCACAATACATATGTATGCACACATGTATGTATACATGTGGCACGCGCACACACCATTTTGCCACAAAATTAACGAGGCAAAAAAAGGCATAAAACACCAAAAAAGCACGGCTCAAGCTCACCAAACATGGGGGGGGGTACCATATATAACACATATAATATAAGTGTCCAGGCCGACAACCCCCCCCCCAAGGGTCCGCATCAATCGGGATGAAGCTGGGGATGCTGTCCAGGACCGTGTGCCCTGCAGCTACGGTCCCAGCCCTTTCACCCCCGCACGCGGACACCCCTGCCCCCACGAAGCCAACCCCAAACCAACCCCAAACCAACCCTAAACCAACCCTAAACACACAACCACCCAACCACCCCACCCCACCCCCACCCTCGCTGGGGGCCGTGGGGGGTGGCCTACCCTTGAAAGGGGGAGGGAGTCCGCTGCCTGCACACTATGGCACAGCCCCCCCCCCTCCCCGTGGTGTGGTCGCATAGTTGTGTTGTGGTTGTTTGGGTAGGTTTGGGTGGGTTTGGGTGGGTTTGGGTGGGTTTGGGTGGGTTTGGCTTGGTTTGGCTTGGTTTGGCTTGGTTTGGGTGGGTTTGGGTGGGTTTGGGTGGGTTTGGGTGGGTTTGGGTGGGTTTGGGTGGGTTTGGGTGGGTTTGGGTGGGTTTGGGTGGGTGGGTGGGTGTGGTCGGTTTAGGGCTGGTTCTGGGTCGTGATAGGGTAATTTAGGGTTTGTTTACGGTTGATTTAGATTGAGTTGGGTTGATTTTGGTTGGTTCACTTCGGTTGGTTTAGTGTTTCAGGCCAACAATGCCACTGGAGCGTTGGTGGAGGCGTGGCGTCGTTGGCAATCGGAGTTGTGGAATTGGTGCTGGTCCCCTTGCCTCAACTTGGTGATTCTTATGGGAGAAAAGTCATGGGTCATCCCAGGAAGGATGGAAGGGCTGTAAGTATACAGAGTGTTCCTACAGTATGGAGCCGATGTGTCAAGCCACGGCAGGGTTTCTGCCAAGGAGAACAGGTTGGGAATTGTGACTGCCAGGTGGACCCCGAGAGCAAGTTGACAGATCCATATGTCGCCAGGCACCTGGCAAAAAAGAAACTGTGATGTGAGTGTTCCCCATGTAGCGCAAGTCAGCTTTTTGGTGGTTGGGCGGGGTATAGTCTGGCACGGTATCAACCTCCACACCGTAATTTGCGCCCATCTTGAACTGTCCAAGCACCGATTCAAAGCATGCCAAGGGGTATCTCATCTTGGGTTGGTCCAATGATTAGGTGGGTGACAAAAGGACGAGCTGCAACGGCACGTTTAGTCACAAATCGAAAAGGTAATGCTGAGCTCATGTACTTTGGGGCCTGCCTCCAGTCAAACTTCAAGCCTTGATCGGAACCGCCAAGTCGTTGCTTTCCAAGGTTCGTCCCACGTCCGAGACTGTGGCGCGCATCTTATCGAACTTATAGAGCAGCGGTATGCGAGGCAACCTGTGCAAAAGTGCAGCCTTCAGGTTTGGCATATGTACGGCAAATGGATCAGCAGCTACCGAGATTTGCTCATACCTTAGCCAGACTTGACGCTCTGAGCCGATGCTCCGAACGCCTTTTTGCCGCTTTGACTGGAGGCCGCTGAAGATGAACCAGTGGGCCAACGTGCTCAGATGGGAAATGAGGATGCAATCAGATGGGCGGTTGTTGTTGTTTTTTTTTTTTTTTAAAGGGGACTCCCCAAAATGGCTCAACGGTTTTTCTTTTGGTTTCCCTTTCAACCCAACCCGAAATAGGGCACCAACTCTACAATGGGGCCATCAGGACGCGACCCTTCTTGCGGAGCTCGGAGTTCCTGAGCCCCGGCGAAGTTGTGCACGCTGTCCGCCGTTGTTTGATATCACTCCGCTTTGCCAGACATGTCCATTGGAGGCTAGAGCTGTTGTTAAGGTCGTTTGCACAAGATGCGTTTCGTCATGAAAGAAAGGCGCCCCTCCTTTGATCAGGAAACCTGAGCTTGTTGAGATCCACACAATTGAACCCATTGAAGGCGGAGCCGTGCCAGGTGGCAAGAAGGTCACACCGCGCACGCGACGAAGGAGGAGGCGCTGGTGACGGCTTGCTTTTGCATTTAAGCATTGACTGCACAGCGTGTTTTTCGGGATGAGGGCCGACATTTTGGTGGCGACATGTGTGACATGTTGCGTAGGCAATTCACTGATAGGGCCACAAGCGCGTGAAGGCTCGTGTTGTGAAGCCTCGCGTAGGCAGTCGCGTAGACGACGATTTGATACATGGCCATGTCACGTGGCTCGTGCTTTTAGGAAGGGGTAAAGCGGTGTTGCGGGGATGGTTTGACGGCTTGCGAAGCCCTGCGTGTCCAACAAGTACAACTTCCCAAGTTCGCGAAAGTCAAGGAGCTGCGAATGCGTACCTCTCCTCCACTTGCGCTGACAAGTTGCGATGTTCGAGCTTGAGCTGCCAAAATGCACTTTGTGCATCACTTGTACGGAAAAGTTGTGATTTTCCAGCCGGAGCTGCCAGGTGCACTGCGTGCGCTAGGCTTGCACGGCTTGCACTGGCAGGCTGCAATTTTGCACAGCCGTAAATGCGTTGTCTCGCGTAGGAGGCAAGTAAAAAATATGCTAAGGCAGAAACAACCAAGAAACCACCTTACCCAGGTGTTCCCTTTCAGATGAGCCGCTTGTTGTCAATGTCCAGTGGTGCTGGGCGTAGAGAAGGTGCGTCAAATGATGTGATATGAAAATGCAAGCGTCTATTGCATTTTAGCTGCTTGGATTCGAGTATGAACTGCTGCGTTGCACAAGCTTGTGTTTGCACGTTGCGGTGCTAATGTCCAAAGTTTTGATTAGTGCTTGCGCGATTTACTTGCAAGGCAAACAAACAAGCACGAGAAGTACTCGACGTGTACTTGGAGCTTGCTGAGGCATCATCAAATGGCTGCATTTGACTATCCACAGGAATGCAGGAAAGTTGCACATGAACAAACATATGATGTACATAGTCTCAAGCTTTGAGAAGGGCTGTTTCAGCAATTGATTGGCCAATGCGGCATCCGAAGGGCCAGCGACATGAATTGTTTGGCTGTGTGTATATATATATATAGATATAGATATATCGTGTATGATACATACATGTGTGTTTATGCGCTTGTGGGTTGTGGGTTGTTCAGCATCCAGCCGTAGCTCACCCGCCGGCTTCCTTCTTTGTCAGGATGAGTTGTGCCTGCCCATCATCCCTGGCCGCAAGTCTAACAACGAGCGCTTTGCTGGCGCAGACGAGACTTACACCATCGAGGCAGGGCGCATTTCTGTTACACGCTCGTGTCGCCTGTTGTGGCTGATCTTTTGGGCTGTGATTGATGAATTGTGCTGGATCCTTCTGAAAGCCGTGAGCGTAGTGAAATCTCGCCGGAGACCCGAAGACAAGGTGGGCTCAGCACATGTTCAAAGGACGCAAGATATTGCGAACCTGATGGAAAGTGTTTGGCGGCAGGATGAGCGCCAATCATAGATCTGAGATGTGCATCATGTCCAAGAAATCCTTTTACCTGAAGTGCAGTTGACAGGCTCTGACTCCGAATGGCATGGCGATTCAGGCGGGCGGCTGGCTGATTATCACTTGTCAACTTGCAGATGACGCCAACTTTTTGGCGAAAGGCAGGGACCTCCCATTTCTTGGGCCAGAACTTTGCCAAGGCGCGAAACCCGGCAACAAGAGCAAGCGGCCGGAAAACGGGGGGGGGGGGGGGGGGGGGGGTTTGGTTTGCTGATGTTTTCCACGGGGGTGTATGTCCTTATTTGTGTCGCAGTAATTTGTGTTTTCCTTGAAGGGCATTCAACAGTGTGCCTTGCTGGTGCTCAGTAGAGAATGAGAAATGGAATGACCCCAAGAAGAAGCATCCCATATGGCTTCCTTTATTCGGGAATCCCATTTAAACCGGTCCATTCCATTTCTCATTCCCTGCCTATCCCAGCGATCGCTCACGCCATGGGTGTGACGTCAGGCCTTCGATGTGACGTATCTCTCTGAAGATCAGAAGTCGGAGTTTGTCTGGGCGTCCTCATGGGGCGCCGGGGACTTGGAACTTGAGAAAACTGCAGAGCCAACCTGAGCCTTTGCATTTGGATGGCCGAGATGGAGAGGATGAGAGGATTTGTCCAGAGTGGCAGGTCTAGCCAGGAACTGCTCCAGAGCCTTTGCATCTGGATGCCCAGAGCAGAAGAGTTTGCAGTTGTCCAGAACAGAGTGGATGAATCATGATCGAACACATGGAGGAGACAAAGGAAGCTGTCAAACCCATTGCCACAGTGCAGCAAGTTAGCAGTCCAGTCTTCGAAAAATCAGACTGGAGTTGTTCTTTCCACTCCTCTCCCTCTCGTTTTTTCTTGTCGCTTTCCCTGCTCTTTTCTGCGCTCTCTTCTCATTGTTTGCTATCTTAATATTCTCCCTGATCTTGTGCCTTCTTTGCCGCCCTTTGTTCCCTTCATCAAGGGATGTTGGCTAACCCTGATGAACAACCACACTTAGCCCGGTCGCTTGCATCTCCCGCTTAACTTGTGGATGTAATTTGTTTCAAGGTGTCGACTCGTCTCATTGGCGCAGTGATCATGGCCGCAGCCTTGGTGTGTGAAGTCAGGAGCCCGTGCTGGCCATGTTTTCTGGGCGGACTGCTTGGCTTCCTGAGGTGTGGTTGTTCCCCTCATGTCGTACTTCACGCCTTTTTACGAGGTGATTGTTGGAAAAGAAGGATCCACATGGCCTTTGCCTCCAGATGAAGCATCATTGTTGGTAGTCAAAGCCCGGAGTGTTGCCAAACGGAACACGAAGAGCAGGCTCGAGCGATGAGCAAGTAAATGAATATGACATGTTTATGTCAACATATCAACAAGGCAGTAAACACATGAACCTTGGTTCCCTGTTTCCAGCTTACTGACCCGATTGTATGATGTCCTTCACCCAGTGCCAAGCAGAGTTCTACTTCATTAAGCTGAAGACCGGAAGCTCTGACACTCTGCAATTTCCAACTGGATGTGTTTTGTTGCTGTTATACCTGGCCGTGTTCTGCCTTATCGGAAAGTTACCAATCTTCGAAGTTGGATGTTGCTTTGAACAAGATCAAATCAAAAGCACTTGCGCCAGACTGAAGAGTCGGAAATGATTGGCAGCTTCGACACTAAAGACCAGGTTGCTGATTAGAGTTTGATATTGGTTGACCGAGGCTTCCGCACTCCTTGGGCCCTGTTCAGACCGAAAGGCTTCTCTCATGTTCTCACAGGTCCATTCGGACGATGACGGCCTGCTGTTGCCTCCTGCGTTGTCTGCCGTTCAAGTGGTCATTGTGCGCCTTGGCGCGTAGTTACAGAATGTCGACCTGAGCATTCTTGAGCCTTCTAGGAAAAATGTCTTTGGACTTTAAATTTGGCTCTCCGACACTTGACTCAAATCGAAAGGATCAGAAACACCGGAGGAATGAACTGTCAGCTAATCCTCTCAGCATGGTCCACACTAAGGTGTCAAGCATATAGTATGGCGTGGGAGAGTTGTGTCAAGTTGTGTCAAACATTTTCTATGGTTATTTCTTGTCAGCAACATGTTCGCTAAGAGAGTTTGCATTTTGTGCAATGCTCGCATTACGTGTTAGCTCCTTACACACAGGACAGGCTTGGTACTCCTTTTTGATCTTGACCCGGAGTGAACAGGCTGACAACTGGTGACTGCACCATGCTAAACAGCTCCCAAGTGAAGCAATGTTTCTACCTGTCATGCACGTAGCACTGGTCCAAGATGCAGAAGATGCCACTTTGGGAGTACGACATCCTTTCAAGCCGTCATACAAGTGTCATACATGCCATGGTCGAAAGACCCTTTACTTGGAATGGCAATCCACCTGGTAAGGATCCTACATCCGACGGGTTCCTATGAAGGGAAACATGACCATACACCAAACAAGCGGCGGTGTTTACCATGTGCAGTTCGCCGCTTGTGAACGGAAGCCGGCAGTTCACGAGCTCCGCCTTGGGGAACTTCTTTGGCTGCGTTCGATGGATTTTGGACCTTCACATGCTTTGAGCCCTTGCCATACGATCCACAGCTAAAGGCTTACACCCCATGCCATGTTGCAAGTGACCAGGGCGTCCTTTTGATCGGTTCGTTCGGTCAAAAATAGATGGGTTCCACTAGTTTAGATGGGGTCTTACCCCATCCAAAAGGATACCTATGGTTGCAAGTGACCAGGACTCGTAAAGCGACATCTGAGGCCCTTGTATTCCAAGGATGCAACGCAGCAGGCGCATCTCTGGAGAAGTGTTGAAGGATGCGATGATGCGATGCTTTCCAGAGGTCATTTCATGTTGTGAGAAGGGCTGGCTCCTCTACCAGGGGAGAAAGAGACAGAGAAGGAGAGTTCTTGAAGAGCACGGGTTTCGCCCACAAAGGGCGGAAGTCTTTCGCCCCTCCGTCTTTTCCGCAAGGAAGCGATTCTCGATGCAGCCTCTTCCTTGAGAAAGTCGCTGGTGGCGGCAGGAACCAGAGCCGGGGACTCACCAGTTGGAGTTGCTCTTCCCAAGCGCTGAGAGTAGGTCAGGGAAACCAACTAGCAGGGATACAGGGGGAACCAGGGATACGGGATGATTCCCCAAAATGCAGCTGATATGGGAAATGGCGCCAAGGGAATCCCCCCATATCCCCGCTCCCTCCGTATCCCCGCTTCTTCGTTTGTCCAAGTAGGTCCAGGCAGAGAAAGAGCCGTTAGGTGGGGGTTGATCAATGTTCCGATTGGCCCCAAAATGACCATGGGTAACGTTTCCCTTTTGGTGGTGATAGTATTTTTTCCGGTGGTTTGCCTGATGGTCACCCCGTGTAAAGAATCGTTTGATCAGCCCTCATTTATTTTCCAATGATAGTTTCTACCAAATACGGATGGCCATAGTATGTTATATGTATTTGCATGGGAGAATGTGTTTATATGTCTACAATGCATGGTTGTCCTATAGGAAAGGCTCACTATCGTTGTCGGAGGCTTGGCATTTTCGGACAGCAAAGCCCTTGAGGTCCATGTGGATGAGCGCTTAAGTGCCCCAGTCTGTTTAGCACAGACAAGTGGCTGTGGGTCAAAACCTATGCCTCCATTTTGGGGCGGATGAACACCCATGTACCACCTATGTTGATGTTCACCAGGGGTTTGCTGGGTTTTGACCCACAGCCAAGTGAGGGGAGATTTGGCTTCAGATGTTTTGGCAAAAGCTCCGGGCAGAGCAAGAGCCTCCTGTCAGCTGACCCCGGCAGCTGGGAGGTATGAAGCCTGGGGCCAAGTACTTCGAGTGGGCGCGGATGCCCGGTGCACCGAGTTTTGGACGTGTTTCCGACCCAAAGCGATCCTTTTCCGCCTCCGGAAGGAGTTGGGGCACGCATGATTTGGGGTCTTTCTTGAAGTTGGACTCCCAAAATGTTGGTTGTCTTTTTGGTTTCCTGTAAAACCGCCAACAATGGGGTGCCCTCAAGAAAAGACTCTTTTCTTGGAATCCCCACCTTGCAATCCTGTTGGACAACATGCTTGGCTTCCCGAAACTCATTGCAACTGGGGCAAGGGTTGGAAGCTTCAACCGTTGGGTGTCGGTGTCAAGTATCGCGAGCCAGATTTGAGTTCAAAGAATTGCGAAGAGCCCCCGGTGGCTCGCTCGAGCGCATCGCTTGGCTCGAGCGCATCGCTTGGTTCGAGCGCTTCGCTCGAGCGCTTCGCTCGAGCGCTTCGCTCGTCGCAGGAGCGCAGGGGGGTGCCCCTGAGACTGGAGCTGGGCGCCCGTGACCTGGAGAAAGGCCGGGATTCACGATTTTCGGTTGGGGTGGGATTGTGAGGTCCAAGTCCATCTACTTTGAGACCAGCCCATCTATCCTGATCGATGTTAATCCCCGCGAAGCTGAGCTCGCAGAGCTCTCAACCCGCGAGGCACTGCCATGGGAAAGCTGCGCACCGGTGGTGACAAGTTCCCCGTGCCCTTGCAAGAGGCTGTGCCTGAGGCGGGCCTTCGGCTTTTCTTTTTTTGTTTTTTCTTTTTTCGCCTTCGAAAGGCGGTGGGTTGGCTTACTGAAAGGCAAAAACGATAGTGTTCATAGGCCTTTTTAGGACAGTTTCAGGACGGGTGGGTTCTACTGAAAGGTAAAAACTGCTTGTGCGATAGGTAGGGAATGAGACATGGAATGAACCGGAAGGGGATTCCCGAATAAAGGAAACCATTGGGGATGGTTTATAGGGGTCATTCCCTCATTCCCTGCTTCATGGGTGGCCTTTTTAAATCAGCTTGTTTGAAAATAGACGGCGCCAATTGCAGGTTGGTACTAGTTTACCAAAAAGACGCGATCTGGCAGCAAGGGTGCTCCGTGGCAAGGGTGCTCCGTGTTCACTGTATACTCAATATCATTCTTTGGCAGCACTTCTTTGGCAGTCTCGTTGAGGAGCAGTTCCTGATACCTTTCTGTCACATTCGCGGCTTACAAGTCAGCATGAAGGGCGTGACAGCACCATTTGTTTCGAGGTCACAAGCATAGATCGGTCTGATTCCATGGGATAAGTCAGTCGGTGTTATTTGTATATGTTGACAATTTAATGTCCCACACTATAAGAACATTTGACCAGACTTCATATGAGTCACAATGAATCCAAAAGAGAGATGTTACTCCCATTTTTGCCTAGCCTTCCACTAAACATGAGGGGTGGTCAGCATGCATGGGGCGCGGCTCTAGTCACCTTGGCGTGGGCATAGCCACCTTGAGATTTAGATATGCTCGAGGGTTGCAGCTTTTGCTGCTGATTGGTATTGTGGTTCCTGACATTCACTGGAACAAAAACAGGAGCATCCCATGTTCACCAGTGCTTAACCCATGCGAACTCTCAGACGGGCTGAGTAGAACTAATTGGACTCCCAATGTTTGCTCAAGCTTTGGGGGCCTCTACTCAGAGCCCAACATGCACCCTTTCACAAGCTAGCACAACCGCCTTCAGAAGTCGAGCCACCTTCCCAACTCTCAGAACGACACTGTCATCGGTGGCCTGTGCCAGTCCCGCCGGATGGTTGGGTTAGACAGGCAAAAGACTACTTTTTGCTGAATGGCGTGACACCCGTGTCACAATCATTTGAAATATATATATATATATATATTCATGACTTGGACTCTACCAAGTTTTTCACGATTCAGGGACTGCAGTTTTGTTTTGACCTGGACATGGGCGTCAAGTGCTGGATGGTTGGCTTTTCCCTTGTGAAACGCTCAGCGTTTGGGCGGGCCCCGTTTCCAGGTTCAGAAGGCGCTGCTGTCCATGAAGAAGCAGCTGCAGGACCGCTCCGCGCAGCTCAAGCTTTCGCCTCGGAAAATGAAAACGGTCTCGAGTCTTGTTTCGATGAGAAGGTGGTGCATCTAAAAAGAGATGAGATACCGGCTGGATCGGGAGCTCCTCAAACCTGTGTATGCTGATGATGTTGAGGATCTTGCAGCTGTTCCCTTTTAGAAAGCGATGGCAATGCTTGGCACTTGACCCATGATTACGCTGTTTACTGGGAAGGTCGGTTGCCATGCTTCAGCTAAGGCAAGAGCTCACCTTCCGCATTGAGTCCCGATCCGACCTCGATGCGCGATTGAAGGCAAGCATTTTGCTACACGCATTTGGCAGTGATTCTAGTTGAGACATGCCATGGGGTTTGGGTTACGCCTAAGAGACTCGAGAGAGAAAGAGAGAGAGACAGTGAGTGAGTGAGTGAGTGAGTGAGTGAGTGAGTGAGTGAGTGAGTGAGTGAGTGAGTGAGTGAGTGAGTGAGTGAGTGAGTGAGTGAGTGAGTGAGTGAGTGAGTGAGTGAGTGAGTGAGTGAGTGAGTGAGTGAGTGAGTGAGTGAGTGAGTGAGTGAGTGAGTGAGTGAGTGAGTGAGTGAGTGAGTGAGTGAGTGAGTGACGTGAGTGACGTGAGTGACGTGAGTGACGTGAGTGACGTGAGTGACGTGAGTGACGTGAGTGACGTGAGTGACGTGAGGTGAGGTTGAGGTGAGTGAGGTGAGGTGAGGTGAGGTGAGGTGAGGTGAGGTGAGGTGAGGTGAGGTGAGGTGAGGTGAGGTGAGGTGAGGTGAGGTGAGGTGAGGTGAGGTGAGGTGAGGTGAGGTGAGGTGAGGTGAGGTGAGGTGAGGTGAGGTGAGGTGAGGTGAGGTGAGGTGAGGTGAGGTGAGGTGAGGTGAGGTGAGGTGAGTGAGTGAGTGAGTGAGTGAGTGAGTGAGTGAGTGAGTGAGTGAGTGAGAATGTGTGTGCATGTGTGTGTGTGTGTGCTTGTGGGTGTGAGTGTGAAAGTGTGTACGCGTGTTTGAAACTGTGTGCGTGTGGGCTCGTACTCCACTTACACCCTGAGGGTCGGAAAGTGAAAGCGGTACTGGGGAACCCTCAGACCGCATGACTTGAGTCAAGTATCATTTGTGTTATCCCCCAACAAGAAGCGCAAACAACACTAAAACCGCAAGACCCAGCATCATCATTGAATATTGCACAAGTGAGAGAGTGTTTCGTGGGGGTTGTAAGCATATATCTCTCAACTAACAAGTTTGATAAGTATCTAGAAGCTACCATGTTGGGTTGGTTTGCTGTAGAGCAGCACAAAGTCCCACCAATTCAAGTAATTCAAGCTAGTGGGTACGTCGAGATGGAACAGCTCGCGTTTTTCAGAAGCAAAGCAAATTGAGTTGAGATGATGTTAGCGTTGTGTTGTTCGCCTTGCCGGTCTGTGGACCATCCGCAGCCCTTGGCACAGTCGGGCGACTTTGCAGGAGAAGGCGACCGGCATGCTGCTGGTACCCTGGGGCGGAGATGACGACGATGAGGACACCTTCGCAAAGCGGGGGAGTTTGGTCCATGCTTTAGCCTTATCTTGCTGATTCTTTATAGGCAGGGAATGATGGAATGAACCCCGAAAAGAACAATCCAACTGGTGGGTTCCTTCAATAGTTCTTGTCAGTCGCGTTCAATAGCGGTGAAAGGATCAGCTCAAGGACGAGACCGGGCTTACGCTGAGGCTCGCTGGTTTACTGTGTAGCAACTTGTTTCAAAACATGGGGGGTTCTCTCAATAGGGGACCCCTTGTTTGATGAGTTAGGGAAATCAAAAGCAAGCCACCTGGAAGGTCCTTAGTTTTGAGAAACACGAAACGCGAAACAAATGTAATGGTTCTTCTACTCCATGTGTTCATCCATGTTAGATTGTTTTTTTTAAGGCCTCCATTTGCAGGCAGAGGCTCATAGCAAGTCCAGATCGAGCTCATTGTGCCGTTTGTGCTTATATTTTGCGTTTTCTCATGGGAATAAGCAGTCCCGTGGCAGCGATCAGGTGTTATCCGATGGAGCAGGAGGATATGCCGGAAGATCAGGCCATCCGGATGGGATGCTTGCACATGGGTTTGCTATACGGTCGGAATGGTTGGGCTTTTCGGTTTTGCAGGCAATTCCAGCGAAATGGAATCGTAGTCGCATCCACACAATAGTCCCTGGTTGTTGGAGTTTGTGATCACTTGGCGTCAAGATGCCAAGAACAAAGCAGGCAGCTGTAATGATGCTTCGAATTTATTGCGGGGTAGAGCAGGGCCATTCACAAGCAGTCAGCTGTTCCAGTCGCGGGGAGAGCAATCAATCCCACTAGGTGGGACGGGTGCATCGGTGAACAAGAGAACTGAAGGGAAACTTCATGGCTTCGCGGTCAGTGCAAACTCTTGCTGCTTTGATACTCGAAGTCGCTACGTTCCATTGGCTTAATTGGTTTCCCCTTTTCGGTTTTAAAGGGACTCTATCACAACTGGAAAGATCTTCTCATTTTCTCCAGGGGGGGGGGCGAAAAAGGCAAATGGAAGCTCCGCTCAGGTTTGCCCCATCACGGGCAAGCCATCCCGGGAATGGGCCATTTTCGCGCTGGCCTACTGATCAGCGCTTTAGCAATTTCTATTCTGCCCCGCAGAAAAGGACGACGCACAACGGCTCAGGTGAATCACGATCAAAACCCGAGTGATTGGAGGGTAGTAAGCGACAAACCCAGCCATAAATAGGTGCGTGCGCCTTTTGGATTCTTTGCATGGTTCTCGGTGGACCATTTTAATGCCGGGGTTTGATTATGACTCAGGCACCCCTCAGTTGCTGGTCTGGATTGGTGGTTCGAGGATTTGAACTGGCTTTTGTATGGGGTTCATGGGAACCTACCCCTTGTGTGGGTGTGTGTGTGTGGTGTCAGCCACCTGATCTGAAAAGATGTACCATGATTCACGGCTATGATGGAGCCGGCCATGCCAAGCTGAATGCATCATACAGCACTGGGATTCGGGAACGGCTGCCCCGGCAGATTCAGATGAAAAGAACGGCCTTCAACTTCGAGGATTGTTTGCACTGGATTGGTAAACCCGTCCTGTTGATAGGGGGTTCCCTCTAAAAGTGATGAACCGCCGCTAAAATGGAACACCCCCTATTGGTCAACCAGGGGGTGATTAGTCAGGGGTCAACATGATGCTAATCCCTGAAACTGGGTGAGCCTGCTTGTGCTTAAATGTGTTGCTTATCTTTCGTTGTCACACAGTCAAGCTTGCGACCTTGCAGCAAATTAGACATCAAGCGGTACTTGGCTTGATCAATGCTTGGGCCAGCATTTGAGGCATGAGCTCGCAGCACAGCACACGGAGATGGATCTCACAAAGCATCAACATATCCATCAGTCAAGCATAGCCTCGCGGCCAATTGCCGGACACGGCATAGCCTCCTGGCGTCAGCTGTCAGTCAGCTGTCATGCGTCATCCATTCCACGCTGTCTTGACTTCCGAGGTTGGGCGGCATGAAGCTGCGGGTGCAACGTTTGTGGTCCTGGCATGTGGCATTACACCAAGTGACAGAAAGAACGAAAGAAAGAAAGAAAGAAAGAAAGACAAGAGAGAGAGAAAGAAAACAGAGAGAGAGAGAGAGAGACAGAGAGAGAGAGAGAGAGAGAGAGATAGAGAGAGAGAGAGAGAGAGCAGAGAGATGTCACAGGCTGCCACCAATCGGCCAAGGCTGCCAGACCAACTGCTTGTCAGATAGGGAGATGTACGAATGAGTTTGACCACTTTCCGGGCGCCTCAGCAAGTCCCTTTCGGTCCGTACAGGCGGTCACTCCACGACATTGATCTTCCCGGTCTCCCACAGTTGCTATGTTAATGGGAGGGAGGGTAATGATTATCCTGGGTACCTTTCATCTAGTTTTGGGGGGATGGCACCAAAGGCAAATGATCGCCAAAAAATTGGATCCACTGCTTCGTGACCGCGACTGACAAAAAATGTCAGCATACCCGCCAGGAAGGCGGATGCCTTCGATCTGGATGTTCAGCCAGATTGGACTGTGCAGGTGGGGCAAACCCAACGGGTCAAATCAAGCACGGTGTACCGCGCGCGAATGCTAAACACAGCTTTCTTGAGCTAAGGCTCCTGTATTCCAGGTTAGTGTAAGGAGAAAATGGAGTCCATCAAGAAGATGCTGCCGCATGTTGCAAAGTTGGCTCGCAGTTGTTCCTGGGATTTTGCCATATGGTCAAAAGTTAGCCACGGCAGACCTGCTTGAGCCTTCATGAGGCCTTTCTCTACCCCCCACCACCTGTTTCTACTGGATTCGGACCTTACTTCAAGAGTGTGTTTACCGTATTTGTTTGCGCCAGTCGAGGGCGAACATTCCAACACAGCGACAAGCTCGTGCGAGGCAGTAAAGGCGGCAATAGCTACCGCGAAGCCAGACGAAGCCTCAGATGGAGAAGCGGCTTGTTCTCTTGCACAAGCACACGAGCAGGAAAGAGTGAATTTCTGAAGTTTATCATGTCAGAAACTCGCAGATTCCCCATGTGGAGCAGGTGAGGAAACGATCTACGCAAATCCAAGGATATGCCAGTGGAGCTTCAAAAGGTTTTGCACAAGGGCAAAGCCAGAGGCTCAGGAAAGTGATGTTGGTGATTGGCTTCGGCTCCTCACTCTGTTGCCCAGTGGGTTGCTTCCTTTTTTCCTGTTTTTTGGTAAGGGTTCCCCTGAAAACTCAACCAACAAAAAAAAGTGCCCCTTTTTTCCATGGCCACTGGGCATTTGAGCTCAGCATTTGTTCATTTGTCATGGATAGCTGGCTGTGAACCGAGGTACTGCAGGATACTGACACACTGGAGGACTGCAATCACGCGCGTGACGGGGCACTTCACTGGGTGAATTGCAGGGAAGCACGGTGGTGGTGGTAACTCACCAGCGGTGGGGAGTCTGGTTAATAGCCACTCACCGAGCAGACTAAAACCGCCCAAGCGCTGTCAGTCCACTTCATGTCCATGATCGTGTTTCACTGATTTGCCTTCAACGGGCTGGGAATCATGAATTGCCCACTGGCCAGCAAGCAAACAACTAATTGTAAACGCTTCGCGTTGCCCGCCTCGGCCAGTCCGCTTTTGGCTGGCTTTGAGGTATCTAGTGTGCTTTAGTTTGCCTTGAAGCCGCAATGCGTGAGCTGGTTTCCAAGCAGGGTGGGTGCCTGTCCGCGCGATTTCACCTGGCAAAAAAGGGCCAGAACAAGAGCTGCAGAGAGCTACGGAATGGTGGGCCAAGCGCACGTCCAAATTTCTAGGGAATTTGACGTGTGTCTTTTTGGGGGGCAAGGATTTTGCCGGTTTCTATTGGGATTTGACGGAAGTTGGACCTGTTTTCAGAGGGGATTTGACGACTTCTATGGTTTTAGAGGGAATTTGACTAGTTTTAAGGGGAATTTGGCCAGTGTTTAGTGGGCTTTGTTACAGGGCTGGATCTAGATGGGATGTTGACCGGTGTCTATCAGCTTCTAGAAGGGAACTTGACCAGTTTCTAAGGTTGTTGGAGGGATTTGCAGGGATCTGACCTGAGTCGCTTCAGGCAGACTGGTCCGGGGGGGGGGGGTTGGACGGACCAATTTTGGAGTGGGGAAGGGGTTGGGGATGGGGTTCTGAAGGGGTCTGACCGCTTTCCGCCCCTGGGGGCCGAGGCGAATTTGGAGGACTATTGCTGGGTTTCTCAGCCGGCAAAGTTTTAGGGATGGTGCCTGTGCATCCATTATCATGCTGAATCATCATCAACCAGTCCAGATATGCATATATATATATATATATACATATACACACACACACACACTCACACGCTCCGTTTGAGGGTTGCCTCCCTGGCGTGTTTACCCGTGGTCGCGCTTTGGCAGTGAGGGTCCTCTACAGCATGCTCTGTTGCTTTCTACGAACTGTGCCTTCCCACTGTTGCCAATCATGCAAAGAGCTTTCGTGCACGGAGAATTATTTCTACTGCACGAGACATGCAAGCCGCTTGGCTGCGAAGATCTGTCAACCAGCCCGCTTTGGGGCCACTCAGTGGCTTTGGGGTTTTCAAGCTGCTACGTGCCTCAGCCGGTATCAAACAAGCACAGCCATAAGCCTCCCACATGAGCACACTCATGTCCGCACCAAGTCCAGCATGGCTTACTTGGATGCGCTTGCGGCACAAGGCGAGCAGCGCCAGTACTTTTGGGCCAGTTGGGCAGCTGAGAATGGCCGGTGAAGCAAGTGCCTTAAAAACTGATGATGCAAGCACTTGCCACTCACTTTAAAGAAAGCAGTCAGCTTGGAATGGCTGCAGTCGTCAATGTAAACCACAGGTTCAGCTGGTTGAATGCTGTGCGTCGATTGATTGAAATGTGTAGTCCAGTAGCTGTGTTTGCTGCCTTGCTCCTCGACTTACTGACATGGACAAGGGCACAGGACATGTGTCCAAGCCAAGATCAACGGCATACTCAGACATGCTGTTTGGCGGTGTGGTTGGCACGTTTTCTGCAGGGGAATGAAAATAGGATAGTCAATACATACCTCCTGTAGCACCAGGAAAATTGTTTCGCATGTCCAAGCACAGCACTGAGTTTGTTCTCGCATGTTCACTCCGCTTCACACTGGCTGTTTTCGTGGCGTTCAGGAGCGTGGCGTTGTCGACGGCGATTTTGTGGTGATCATGATGTCCAAGCCCAAGGCGGGGCGTTGCCAACGCCATGTCACAAATGCCAGCGCAGGGAGGATGTAGTGATGTGTGTGTGTATGGCAAGATTGGCATCCAAGTCACGACTCTTGTGACTGCTACATAGAACACCCGACATGGCAGTCGAAACCAACAGCACCTCTTGCCTGGAATCATGGCACTTTGCATCTTGAGATCTTATAGGCTTGTCTGGTTCACATGGTCTTTGCTCAGACGGACTCGCTCTGAGCAGTGCCACCTGAGAATTACGAAAAGCGACACAAGGGTGTTTCTTTTTTGATGGCACCCTTTTTGGGCGTTGGTTTAAAGGCAAATCAAAGGCAAACCGAAATTCCCCTATTTCAAGACATACCCAAATGCAACTTTGGACCTAGGAGGAAGCGCCGGCACCTCCAGCGGCACCGGAAGCTCCCGCAGCACCGGCGGCACCTCCAGCGGCACCGGCAGCACCGGCGGCACCGGCAGCACCGGCGGCACCGGCGGCTCCAGCAAGGGCCTCGGTGGCTATACCAAAACGTTGAGGGGGTGGACCTGTTGACCTGTTGGCTTCCAATTTGGGTTCAGTTTTTGTCCAGGTCCCCAGAAGGTTCACCTTTTTATGTCCAAGGTTTGGGCAAGTGAGCCGGGGTGCGGTTGAAAGGGACAACAAAGCGCGGAAGCTGGCTGTGTGTTTGCCCCTTTGAACATGTGCGCTTGGGGAATTTGCAGATAGGCGCTTGATTTTGTTTGATGGTTTGCACAATTGGCAGCGCGCGCTGATGACGCGCTTGCATGACAGCTCAGAAAGAATGGTTTCACCGTGCTTTGCGTTCTTTGCATGTTGCAACCTGTTTGCTTTGAATCTGAGGTTGTCCTACATAATTATGTGGGTTTGCAAAAGGGTACACCAATGCTCAGTTGTCTTTTGGTGTCCCTTTCAACGCCAAAAAGGCTAGCCTCTGGTCTAACATGGAACCTGACTAGTAGATCGACGATGTTCCGTTCAAGGGGCCATTTTTTTGGTGGATTCCGTGTTGTTTTCAAGGGGCCATTTTTCAAGGACCCGACGGGAAGCCAAAAAGAAATCCATCTGGTTGGGGATCCCATCTTGTGGAGAGGAGGGCAACTCAAAAGATGTTTTGCGCCCATTGAGCCAATCCGAGCAGGCTGACATGGAGCCACGGACCAAGATCGATTCGCCACGCGGGAATTTTGAGCATTTGTGTCTTTTGGCGGTTGGGGGGGACCCAAACCCCGTTATGGCCATGAAATTCTGAGATTTTGAGATTCAACTATGTAAAGGCTCTTAAATTAAAGATGACTTGCACAAGAGGAGTGTGAACCACTGAGCCAATTGCGTACCAACAGTGGTTGCGCGATGACACTGGGAGCCGCCCAGCTGCAAGCCACAAAGAAAGCAATCACGTGCCTGGTGAAAGCGGGTTGTGCAGTTGTAAATGTTGGGTTCTTCCCTTGGCCAGAAACAATCGATAGGGGTGTTTGTTGCCAGCCACCAGAGTGATACAAGCCACCAGACGGCGCGCGATTGCCGACAACAACTGATGCGATAAGCAGGAACAGTATCCGTCAGGTAAACCAAATGGATCACATTCTTGTGGGTCCCACTCATTTGAGATCCCCACAAGTGTCATGGGCTTCGGTTGATTGCACCATGGTGCTTTGGGTACAAGACTTGCTAGAGATAGCCTCCCAGCCATTTCGCTTGGGCCCTGACGTTCCGGGAAATGGTCCTGCAACACGGAACATGTTCCTTTGAAAGGGGCCCGTCTTCCGAAGGTCAGGTTCCATGTGTGAAAGGTATGCCACCCGGGGCTCTGGCAGCCGGATGTGGGAGGGTCGATCAAAAGGTTCTTCACAGGGGACAAGATATGTGTCCGACGAAATCTGGAAAAGTTGCCCATGGTCATCTGGGGGCCAGGGATATGGCTGTGGCTCAAAGAAGCCGTACCCTGTGGAAGCAAAGACCAAAACCTGCGTAACGTCAGCTGCTTAATTTTGAGCCACACCCCGTTTGATGTCAGAACGGAGGCCAGCAATTCAGATGCTGTGCAGCATGGGCTTCCCCAGAGCCGCGGTGGAGCCTGGACCTTGGCATTGGCTGTGGGTGGGTGGGGTGGAGTGGGGGTGTGGGGGTGGGGGTGGGGGTGTGGGGGTGGGGGTGGTGTGGGTGTGGGGTGGGGGGGTGGGTGGGGTGGGGGTGGGGGTGTGGGGTGGGGTGGGGGGTGGGGGTGTGGGTGTGGGGTGGGGGTGGTGTGGGTGGGGGGTGGGGTGTGGGGGTGGGGGTGGGGGTGGGGTGGTGGGGGGGGTGGTGTGGGGTGGGGTGGGGGTGGTGTGGGGGTGGGGGTGGGGGTGGGGGTGGGGGTGTGGGTGTGGGGGTGGGGGTGTGGGGGTGGGGGTGGAGGTGTGGGTGTGGGGGTGGGGGTGGGGGTGGGGGTGGGGGTGGGGTGGGGTAGGGTGGGTGGTTGGTTGGAGTTGGTTTGGTTTGGTTTGGTTTGGTTTGGTTTGGTTTGGTTTGGTTTGGTTTGGTTTGGTTTGGTTTGGTTTGGTTTGGTTTGGTTTGGTTTGGTTTGTTTGGTCTTGTTTAGTGTGCTTAGTAGGTTGAACTAGATGGAAGTGTGCATTTATGATGATGGAAGTCTTCATGGGGATATTACCTTGATGCGCACACGCGGGTCAAGACTCTTTTGATCAAGTGGTTTGGTGGCAAGAGAGTTCAAGTGTACAGCCTCACTATCCGCAGGTGTGCTCACGCCTTCCCCTCTGCAAGCGCCACTGAGGCAATGCTTGGCGGCAGCCTTCAACAATCCTGACAGGGTCGCTGGCCTCAGTTGCGTTATTTCTTGTGGATGTCAGACGGAGCTCCTCGAAAAGCCGTCTTCAATAGATTGGCATTAGATTGGCGTGCCTGTTCCTAACTTTGACTTGGCAGATCAAGCAAAAGTGGTAATGCTCAGGCAGTTGAGTACTTGACGAGCGGCATCCCGCCACATCTGGCAAATCCTCCACGCTTCTGCCTTGAAGCCTCGTGGTTTCCTTTCACGAACTGCTGCCATGCTCGCCATCAATGTCAGGATATGGCGCTGAATTGGGAACCACCTCACAAGTGGTTGGTGGACATGAATCCCGCCTAAATCATGTCCTGCACAGGGTCCCCCGTTAAGATTGTGCTCAAGAGTAGCCTTGGATTTGCCAGGCGCAGGCAGCCAACCAGCCGCCCCCAGCTCCTCCTGCCCCAGCTGCACCACCTGCAGAACCGCAAGCCCCAGCTGGTAGCCAAGCATTTCAGCTAAGAACTGTCAAAGCCTGCTGCTTGTGGCTTTGGAGTTTCATGGGTCCCTGAATCGAAAGATCTACAAAGTACAAGTAGCCTTCCTCTCAAGCTGGCTGGTTCAAAATCCCCCCACCGGGGAACGGAGGGGAGCTGGCCACTGTTTGCGCAATGTCCAACGAAAATTGACAACCTTTTCCAGTCAAAACGGCTTTGTTTGTGTCCAAAACCTACTCTCTCAAATTGAGACACATTGCGCGTGAAAACTGTGTTTTCCCTGCTTTTGTGCGAATCTTTCGACCTCGAAGATCCAAGCACAATGTCAACATCAACCATGACAGCACTGGTGTGTGTGTGTGTGTTGCCTTTATCATGTTGCCACCATGCACACAACAACGATGACTGTGCTGGGACATGCGTTCTTGTTTGAAACTGGTGTCCGGGTTTCATCCCTTGTGCAACAACAGGTACAAGCTCGGGCAACCAATGGTATTGTTCAAGAGCGGCCTTGAGCAAAGAAAACAAACAGCAACATAGTCTACAAGGTGATGTGTCCCGAAAAACCGCCCCTTCGGGGGCATACCAAGTGATTTGGGACCTCGCTCCGAGTCGCAATCCGAGTTCAAAGCACCGCCGCCGGGTCCGCCAATGGGCACGACGCTCAACGGACGCACTGCGGAGAGATCTGAGAGCAATTTGTGTACTCACAATCTGAATCAACAGCCACCCCGAATTTTCCTGAACCTGGTGAACGTGTTGGGTGTGCCTCCCAAAAGTGCAGTTATTGCTCAAGCGTCAGGCGGCCTCATGCCAGCTAGGCAGGATCCTTAGATTCGAACGGCAAGCCACAAGCCAAGTGAGAAGGATACTGTGATTGCCAAATCTTGCTGGCCTGTTGCTTGAAGTGTACATGCATCTATGTGTCCCTTTGTGCCCTTTATACGTTCCCAGCTATTTGCTGCAAAAAAGAGGAGGAGGTGTGAGCAACGTGTTCTGCATATTTTTTTCGAGAGGCGTGTGTAGAAGCGGCATGTGCAGCTGGAATTGCCAAATTTCCAGATGCCCGCCCAGGCCAGTGCTGCCAGCGCCAGAAACAGGCACCAGTCGATGTTGTTCGTGCGAAGGTGGCGAGTGCTGTGCAGGACCCTTGGCGGCCCTGGCGAATCATCCCAAGTTCAACGCGCTCCGGCAAGCAGCCGCTTGGCCTGGGAAGCACGGCCGTACCCGGGAAGTACGGCCGAAGCTTAGGGGTGTGGCACGCGAAATGCTACGGATCTTGTGAGGAAATGTACTCTGGCACTACAAATGCACTGTGCTTTGTTGCGCATGGCACGCATGGCTTTTTGGAGTCAGGTGCAGCAGCATCCGAGTATGTTGAACCAGGTTCTCACCGTGATCGCAAAGGCGCGAGTTCGTTTCGAGCGTGGGACTCATGACATGAAACATAAGCTGCTTGACTGTTGAAGCTTATGAACGATAGATGAATATGAGCTATCCTTTGTTCGTTCTGCTATGCGGAGGCCCAAACAGCCAGCAGCACAAAGGACGGTTCCTCCCTGCCAGGGTGACCCCAACATGATTCCCCTCATTGCAGAGCACCAGGACGAGCGGCGCTGCCATGTTTTGCGTGTTTTAATGATGTGAGATGTCTACGCATTGCTAGGTTCGTGCGCCTGCTTTCTCAGCCTGCCACGGCTGACCCAATCGCGGCATGGGGCTTGTGTGGGTGCGCTTTACTCTTGGCGGTCGAGCGTCTCAGGCTATGCTTCAAGCAGCGCAGGCATGCTACCTAATCCCGAGTTGCAAGAGAATGTGAGCAAGCAAGCACCTGGGAGAACAACCACTAAACATGTCCATGGCGTGATCTTGCTTGATGCGATGAAAGAAAGTGATCAACATGTTGCCTTAACCAAGAAGCCATAAACCATCAAGTTGCCTTAACCAACATGTTGCCTATGGTTTCCTTTAAAGGGAATCCCCAAACGGTTCATTCCCAACACCCGCACCAGCAGGCTGCAGGGGCTCCTGGCGCACCTGCTGCGCCAACTGCCCCGCCGCCGCCGGAAGCTCACTGGCCTCATGACTGGCGACGTGGGTCAAAACCCAAATCGTACCCCCAGTGAACATCCCAATCCCCACTAAAGTTCTAAAATGGGTGGTGAATTCACTTACCCCAAAATGGTACCATTGGTTTTGACCCACAGCCGGGTGGTCAAGAAAAGAAATTTGATCAATATTTCATTTAGGGCCCCAAAGTGATCAAGGGGTAATTTGTCCCATGTGGGGAATGCCATCTTTGTAGCGGTTGTCCAACCAATGGTCACCCCAGGTATGGGAGTTTGTTTACTGACTGTAGATAGAAATCTGACATGGCCATGGGTTCTACCAAGGTCTTGACACGGACTCATGCTTTGCTTGCTGTGAAGGCTACTGCAACTCAAGCAAACATGCTCTGATGTTTACTGCCATGCTGACCATACTCATTGCCACTAGCGAGCTACAACTGCTGCAGAAGCAACAAGGGTCAAAAACTTAGGTTTGCCGAGCGATTGGGAAGGGTCCTGTTTTGCCCCAAGCCTGCACTGAAATTTGTGACCCAACATAGAGTCGGGGTTTTGGAATGGGGGGGGATAAGCATCCGCCTCAAGCGCCCCCTTTCCACTTGTTTTGTTATTCAGAGGGGCATGTGCTTGGGATTTGAAGAAGCTAAAGCATAGCATTCGCTGTCGGTGCTTGCCACAAGCATTTTATGTTCGCTATCCAGATGGATTCAAGGGGTGTCGACGACGCGTAACCAATGATACCATTTTGGGGTTTTCGGTGCACCACCCATTTTAGTCTATGTCAGTGGGGATTGGGATGTTCACTGGGGGTACGATTTGGGTTTTGACCCATGGCCACTTAGTCAGGTGTGGCCACTGTGGTGCTTGTTGCAACTGGTGCAATATCCTCAGGCCACAACAGCTGGGGCCAGATGGCGAGCAGGCAGCACGAGAATCTGACAGTTCTGTTCGCGGAGCCTTAAGAGTATGCAAGACCTGGGTGTGTCCTTTTTGGGGGACCCGCCTAAATTATTTTGTTTCTTGCTCCCGTAGAAACCACAACAAAAAGCAAATACCCTCAAACAAAGACAGATGCAACTAGCAACTACAGGCTTTGTTTTTCCCCAAGCCAGGCAGTTCAACGGCTGCAAGCCCTTGGATTCTCTCGGGGTGCGTGCATCGAAGCCTATTTGGCCTGCGACAGGAACGAGGCAGGCACCAGGGCTTTTCGGGACGGCTCAAAGCTGAAAGGCTTTTAAGGTTGCCTTGGATTAAGGAAGAGAGAAGATGAAGAAGAGACGAAGGCATGAAGAATGGAGAGAAAGACGGAATGATTTTGGTATGAGTCAAAACTAAACCACCAGAGGACCGCACGTTTTAGTCCATGGTTCCATTTGCCAGGGTTCCATTTTGGGTACCCTTTTTTGACCCGCAGCCATGTTTGAAATGGGGAAGAATGCATGAAGATTGCCGTGCCACGGCAATTGGTTCTCACGCTGCACACTCTTCGTGACTCGGTGGGTACAGGAAATTGCGGCCAATTACCTCTTCGATCGAATGGAGGAATAGAATGCATTGGGAAAGAATTGCTTTCGGTATTTACTGAATCTCCCATTCTAATGTACAGCTAAATATGGTGGATTTGGGATCGGTGTGTTGGAGTTGGAGAAGTAGATGTTGTATTGTAGTAGTGTTATATTCAAATGGCGTGGTGAGTGATTGGAATTGTAAAAATAGATGTTTGCAATGTGTATATATTCACACATATTTCATGTTGAAGAATGTTAGCATTTGAATCCGAATTTATAGTAATTTGTTATGAGAAATATTGCAATTTGGTGTGTAATATTAATTGTTGATTGGTGAATTTGATTTTATTCATTTTTAATGGAATATAAATGTATGGTTTATATAATTAAAATGATTTAGGTATTGAATTAATATTTAAAATTTATAATAATGAGTTTAGTTTTAAAAAAAAAAAAATGAATATGTTGATTTCGAGGTATTTATTTCGAATTATTTTAAAATATATTTTTTTAGATTGTTATTATTTGTTTTTTAGATTAGAATGAATATATATTTGTTTGTATTGTATTTGGGTAGAATTTTTATTATTTTTAATTGATTTGAACAAATTTTATATTTGGAAAAAAATGAAATGATTTTTTATATATAAAATTGATTATTTTATAAAACGAAACCGTGAAATTTGTTCGTCGCACTTGTGCGCGTTTTTCCGGATTAATTTTTTTCTCGAAAAATCCCGGATATTTTGGAAAATTGGTTTGGATTGCCCTTGGAAGATGTAATCGCTTTATATTTTTTACGGATTACTTGTTTAAATTTGTTCGGGTTATGCCGGCATATGTGCGGAAAACATAATGGCTTCATTTTTTGTAGGAACCAATTTCTCGAAATATTTTAGATATTTCGGGAAAGTGGTTTTGGAATTATTGCTATCTACCAGTTTCTCGAAATATTCCGAATATTTCGGGGACGATTTTCCCGAAATATAAATGTTATCCTCGAAGTATTCAGAATATTTCGGAAAAATGGTCTGGAGTGCGAATATCGAAATATCCTATTGGAAGAATGGTTCGGGTGTTGAACGAAACCGTTGTGTTTTTTGGATAAATTGCCGGTTCTTGTATTGGGCGTATTTTATTGGAATTGGTCCCCTGTGGTTTGTTTTTTTTGGTTTCCTTATGATTTTTTTAGCGATAAATAAAAAAATTGGTTCTTTTTGGGCTAATCCATTCGAGTATCTGCACGCACCAAATGGATTGATTTTTGGATTTCCCCTATTATGGATGGACGAAATCTTGCACCACCTAAGATTCTCTGGAATGATTATTCTTCTGCAAATACCAACAAACAAATTGGTTCCCAGGTTTCAAAATAATATAGGATTTTGTTCATCCACAATATGATTGGTTTCCCTATTTCCCTTTGATCGTCCGTTAGGCTCGCCATCGGAAGCTTTTCGACTAGGTCCCCCAGTAGTGCCCTTTCTGGGGGAGGGTTCTCCTACTAAAATAGACTACAGAAAAAAATTCGCACTCTAACCTCTCAAATCTGGAGGACCTAGCCACAATGAAAATTGACTCTCTGAAATTGATCACTGGAAATTTAGAGGGGGGGTCCTCCAACAAATTTGGCGCCGGATTCGCTTTCGGGGCATATATCTGCCTGTCCGTATCAATTTTCCAAGAGTTTGGCGATGCGAGAAGCTGTGAGCCGCGGCCGATTGTTGCGACCAGTGGTGTTTTTCCCAATGCGTTGGGCGAAATCAGTTCGGCTTTGCTTGCACCCAGGATGTTTTCTGGTCGATCGTGTTTTCGCTTGCGCTTGCAACAACTACGTGTGTGGATGGATCTTTTGAGGCTAACAGTCCGCGGATTCGTTCTCACCTTGTTCAGGCGACCGCCTTTCACTAACTCTTTGGTGTTTTGGGCGAAATCAGTTCGGCTTTGCTTGCACCTAGGATGTTTTCTGGTCGATCGCGTTTTCGCTTGCGCTTGCAACAATTGCGTGTGTGGATAGATCTTTTGAGGCCAACAGCCCGCGAATCCGTTCTCACCTTGCTCAGGCGACCGCCTTTCACTGACTTTTTGGTGTGACCTTAACGCGACCAGCCCGGCCCTCAGTGCGTCTCGCGACCTGTGTTTGGAGAACGGCAGCATGTTTTTCGCATACGACGAGTATACATTTTTTGCTACATATGTGATAATAAAATATGTTGGTGCCTGGGTTGCAAAAAGTATCTTTTTGTCTCTGTCTCTCTGTCGGTGTCTGTCTCTATCTCTCTTTGTCTGTTGGTCTCTCTGTCTCTGGTATCTGTTTCTTTGTCTGTCTGTCTGTCTATCTGTCTGTCTGTCTGTGTCTGTCTGTGTCTGTCTGCGTCTGCTTGTGTCTGTCTGTGTCTGTCTGTGTCGGTGTCTGTGTCTGTGTCTGTGTCTGTGTCTGTGTCTGTGTCTGTGTCTGCGTCTGTGTCTGTGTCTGTGTCTGTGTGTGTGTGTCTGCGTTTGTGTCTGTGTTTGTGTTTGTGTCTATGTCTGTTTGTTTGTGTCTGTCTGTTTGTGTTTGTCTGCGTGTGTTTAGGTGTCTGTGTTTGTGTGTCTAAGTTTGTGTGTGCGTCTTTGTCTTTGTCTTTGTTTTTGTATGTGTCTCTTGTTTTTGTTTTGTTGTTGTTTCTTTGTTTGCTTGTTTTTTTTTTTGAAATTGATATTGTGTAGGTTAATTGTTATGAGTTAATGAAATTTATTGTGTTTAGGCTTGTATAATATTTAAGTGTAAGGTTGAAAATATTATGTTTTAGAGTATATAGGTTTGATTATTTTTAATTTGAATAATTTAATGGTAGAGGTTGTTGATATATCTTATTGGGATATGAAGTCCGAAACAAAATTGGAATTGATTTATTTTGTGGTTTCTTTTTTATTTAGTTTTTAAATAGAGTGTTATAAAAGGGTATTTAAATAGCAAGATTTAGGTTAATGATGAGATGACGAAATTGGTCGATTTCGGCCTAGTTTGAGAGATCCCTCAGGTTGATCGAAACCGTTGTTGTGGAACGAATATGTTTATGAAGGACGTTTTTTTGGAGATTAGAAAAATATGTTATTTAGATTTTTTTATTATTAATTTATTATTATTTTGGTTGAAATATTGTGTTTGTTTTGTGAGAATTTTGCGATATAAGAATCGATTATTATGATTAATAGGGATTTTTTTAATGTTTTGCACAATATTATGGATATTTTGAGTCCGGACTATATATTTATACGTTGATATCGGGCATTTGAGACATATTGTTGTTTTGTGTATCATAATATTTTAGGAAATATATTGAGGTGCTGAGAAGTTCTATCCATAATTTGTTTTTAGATATTTGGATCTCTAAAATTGGATATGCCGAAATCGTTTTTTGTCAAGCATTTGCTCGGTCTGCCTATTTCTGTCTTTGTAAATATGATCGTGTATATCTATCTATAAATTGGAATGTTTGGTTGTTTTTTTCTGATTCTGTTACTTTCCTGCCATGGGCTTCATCTCGCACGCTGCTGGAAAGCAGCGGGCCCCCGCTAGTCTTATTATAAATATAGAATATGTTTTATATATATGATTTAATAAATTAGCTTGAACATTTTTAAGTAGGAGTTTCGGATATTTATTTTGCATATTAGATTTATAATATGGAATTATATTCTCCGATTTAGAATTGCGGATATATATTTCGCGATTTTCGAGTTGGAGTTATGGAAATTTATGTGGTGTTTTAGATTTGCATCCCAGAATTGTGATTTTTAGCTGGAGTTGTGGACATGTAATTCGTGTATTAGATTTGTATTATAAAGTTGTGATTTTCGATTTGGAGTTGTGGAAGTGTATTTCGTGATTTTCGAGCTGGAATTATGGAAATGTATTTTATATATTAGTAACGGAGTATAAAATTTTGATTTTCAAGTTGGAATTATATAATTGTCGATTTGGAATTGTGGAAGTGTATTTCGCGATTTTCGAGCTGGAATTATGGAAGTATATTTCGTGTATTAGATTTGTTTTATAAAGTTGTGATTTTCGATCTGGAGTTGTGGAAGTGTATTTTGTGATTTTTGAGTTGGAGTTATGGAAAAATATTTTATATATTAGTTTTATATTATAAAATTATGATTATCGAATTAGAATTATGGAAATGAATATCATATATTAAATATATATGTATTAAAATTCGATTTTCGAGCTGGAGCTATGAAAGTGTATTTCGGATGTTTGTCTTGTGCTACAAAGTTGCGAATTTCGAGTCGGAGTTACGGGAAATATATTTCGCGTTTTAAATTTGTATTATAAAGTTGTGATTGTCGAGCTAGAGCTGCGGAAGTGGTATTCCATATGCTAGAATTGTATTAAAAAGTTGTGATTTTCGATTTAAAATTATAGAAGTGTACTTCGTGATTTTCGAGCTAGAGCTACGGAAATATAGTTTGTGTATTAGTTTTGTACTAAAGAGTTACAGTTTTCGAACTGGAGCTACGGAAATATATTTCGCATATTAGATTTATATAACAAATTTGTGATTTTCGAACCGGATCTATCAAAAATCGAAAATATTGTAAAACGATATAGTCTCCGAAGTATTAGGGCCAAGTAAAGAGTTTTGTCCGCTCCTTATATATTCAATATATATATATAATATAATTAAATAAATTGAATTGCACAAATAAATTATATTTTAAATATATGAATTAGGGAAAAATATTTAATAATATAATATTTATGTATTATATATATATATATTAAACATAATTTTATTTATATTTAATATAATTGAAGATTTTTTGTTTTATTATTAATGATTAAAAAATTCTATAAATATATATTATTGTTTCAATTTAATATTAAAATGATTTAGCTTTTATTAGTTATTATAATGTTCGTTATTATATATATATATATATATCTATATCTGTTTATTATTAAGTATTATTATTTGATCTATTGAATATATAGGTGTCAATTTAGAAATGTATTAGTATTTATATAGTTATTATTTTACATTATATATATATATATCAGAAAAAAAAATATTTTGTAAGGCCTAAATTCTATTATAATTAATAAATATCTAAATTTCGTAATCCAATAATTAATTTCCATAAAAGAATATAAAATTAAAAATATTCGAATTTATTTTATAATATATATTCATATTAATAATTAATTCAATTCCATCTATAAATCATATATATACATATATAATCGATAAAATAATATATATATATGTCCATATTCTTATATGGTTTTATTCAAGAGGTTCTTAATAAGCCAAAGCTAAAATTATTATTTTCAATAACCTCCTATTCATAAACAATAATCCGAAATTATAACAATATTCCTAAGATTGTCGATCTCCAATCAAAAAACAAATCGGCTGGAGCATTGGCAAACAAAAAAAAAATAATGAAATTAAATAGTTTAATGAATTATTCTATAATATATTTCGTAAATATTAAGTAGTCATAATATTCCATATAAATGTTGAATAATATATATAAAATAATATATTATGAATATGTTTATTAGTTAAAAAGAATTATATATCCAATAAATATCTGACTATAAATTTATGATATCTAATTATATAATATGTATATATATGGAAGAGGTTTAATCCCTTTTCGTCCCCCCATAGTTATAGTAGCCTTAAATAAGGTTCTAAAAAATTTAAAAATTATAATCATTTTATAAAAGGCCTCGAAAAGCCCCCCAAAATGGGGGGGAAATACCAGGGGCGGGGGGGGGGGGGGGAACCATTCGCCAACCAGAACCTCATATATAAAAATGATTTATCTCCCAAATTATTATAGATTTTCTCTATCAAATTCATTTAATTTATCTATATATGAAAAAAAACAAAAAAAAAAAAAAAAGAGAAGAAAAAAAGAAAAAATAAAAAAAAAAATAAAAAGAAAAAAAAAGAAAGAAAAAAAAAAAAAAACAAAAATAATAATTATAAAGAATAAAAATCAAAAAATAATAATAATAAAATAATATTAAATATATCTAAAATAAATTTATATATATATATTATAATTTAACAAACTAATATAAAAAGCAGACCGAAATATAAAATAAGCCAAATAAAAAAAAAATAAACATAAATAAAATTATATATTTTTTTTTAAAAAAAAAGAACCAAACGAGAATCAAATAACAAGAAATCTATGAATTTTATAATCAATCCAACCTCCAATTCCTTTCATTTTTTTTATGTAAAAATAAATTCATATTAATCTCCTATTAATTATTTTTCATTATATATTTACATTCAAAATAATAATATAAATTATTAAGCTATATAAATAATTTAATTAAAATAATATAAATCTAATATATATATATATACATATAATTTATAAAATACAAATATAGTTGTTTTTCTAGTTTTTCAATATAATTCTAAATTATAACATATTTAATATCCTTTATCCAAGAAAAGAATCCCAATATAGTATTATTATATTGTTGTTCAAAATATTTCAAGTATGTCAAATAATTTATTTTTGTTTCTTTCCGGATATGTATTGTCTCTCTTGGATATCTAAATTCTTGTGAAATTGGCAGCTGGTGCTTCCAGCTTTGGTCGCACACAAAGGCGGGATCCTGTGGAGTGCCCGGTGCCTGGCAAACGAGACAGGGAGTCGAAAGTCGAATCCCGTACTCCCAAAAACAGCGCAGGCAGGCATAGAACGCCTGATTGTCATATTCTTTTGGGGAAAGGGCACCTTCACATCCGTTTTTGCACCCACGATCTCAGATAGGAACCTATTTGCACATGTGCACATCTGCACATCTGCACATCTGCACACTTGACGCAAATCAAAATCAGAATATGGAAATCACGGACCCAGCGCAGATATCCACGGGTTCTGAGCCCTAGGCAGGGTGACACTCAGCTGGCCCATGGCATGCAGCCCCTGGGCATCGAAGGGAGGCACTCGCCAGCCACTGCGACCTCGCCGGCCTCTGATGATTCAGCGGGAAGGTGCCAGCCCAGCCGTTCCTGCACGAATGGTACCCTCCCACCAGCTGACGTGGAAGTGCACAGACCCCTGTAGAAAGACTACTTTCCTCTTGGAAAGGGGCTTTTTGCACTTCCATCTTAGTTGGTGGGAGGGTACACCAACTCTCCAAACGTTGAACAATGCTCCGACTCAGCCATAGCAAACGAGGCGTTTCCTCGCCTCGCTTGCCACTTGCCTTCCGAACGCTCGTCAACTCCACCCGTCCTGGCCAACTCGCCGCCTCGCATCCGGCCGTCCCACAGCTCTTCGCCATGGGCGCGGGACTCGCCGTAGAACGGCCGCTCACCTCGCCATCTTCCCCGACTCGCCATAGGCAAACGCAAGGCACCAAATGCAAATGTCTGCCATCCTTCAACTGCCACTCTGCATCAAAAAGCGGCTTGGCATCACATCTTCACATGTTCTTTCGGCGCAAATCGTCGCCGAGATCTATGCAGATGCGGCTTTGCGCCTTCTTCGTGAAAGCTGCGTCACGTTTCAAAGGTTGGGACTTTGCCTGTGAATTCTTATTTGCGGGCGTCACAACCTTGTTTCCTTGAGTGTTTTCCCTTCAGGAGGCTCTACTTGAAAGTGGGTGTCGTGCCTTCCGGGCACGGCGCGAAGCCCTCTGCGCGGCAAAGGCCTCAGTTCAGTTCTGTTTGGCGGGTTGCTTTAACCCCTGAGACCAAGCACGCCCCGCGAAACATGTTAAAAACAGAACAGCTCAAAGGCGGTCATGATCCTGAGCACAAATGTCACTGGAATTGTCTGAAGTTTCAGCCCTAGCTCCAAAAAAGTGCTGAATCTCTGTGAAGCAGAAACGAGGCAACTATGCGTCAGATCTGCCGTCCCTTGCTCTCTCATCCGGTTGGTTCACCACGGCACATGTTTTCCATCTTCCCAACTTCTCCAACCCCAAAGATTTAGCAGCTGACCTTGCGACTCTAGCTGCCTGAGCCCCGCCTCGAACTACCTCTACCTCTGAGTTGCGAAGATCTGCCAGGCTGGCCGCCTTCTGCAGTCCTGCAAGCCCCGCATTTCAGGAGGCTGGCCAGCCCCGCATTTGTGGGTCTGGGTCAAAATTCACCCAGGGGACTGCAGATTCTAGTCCGGTTTACATCCAGGGAGCAACAGAAGCCTGGCCTGATATGTCGGGTGTCTGACGGCCTTGAACGCACCAGGCCCATCCCTGCCATCAGATAGCGTGCACCGCGATCAGCTAATTGCAAACTTCGCGCTGACTGCGCCTTCTCGGCTTTAGCCTTCGGAACTGATGAGAGTCCCAGCTGATTCAGACCAGCCCGGGCCTCCTTGCACGGACAAAACGCAACTCGTCATGTCAACTCAGTGCCTTGAAAAACAAAGCAGCCCACTTCAGTGGACCTCTGACTCTGGCTGACTAGCCTGCAAAAACAGTTGAATCCCATTGCCAGCAGCTTTGGCACGGTCCTTCTGCCTGTGCTCCAAAGTGCTAAGTGGAGCCTCGCGCTCTGCTCGAGCTCTCTCCAGGGCGGCGTGCGTGACAGACGCAGCCAGAGCCTAAGACCCGAGTCTGCAAACGTCGCAAAAGTTGGACATCTCTTGCTACTGCGGACAACCTATCCACCACAAAAAGCATCCATGCCCGACGAATGCAAACAGTTGGTCATGATTACAGTTTAATACAGTCAACGGTATCATCAGTATCAGTACTAGGTAGTTGCGGCCCCTTGACCAATGATGTCGCGCTGCTGGCCAGAATGGAGCCGCGCAGAACAAAGCCCCCATGGTGGCAAGTCAACCGAATTAACACGCTTGGAAAGAGTAGTCACTTTGCTCATGTCAACGTGAGCCTGAAAGAACAGGCCCTAAATTGCCACTGCCAGTTTTAAACAGCAAAACCAAATCGCAGGTCGGCTCAGCTGAGACCTAGAACCCTAAGGCCCCGCGCACGCCGGGTTGCTGAGTTTTGCGCCTTGGCTCAGGGGGGAGGGAAATCAAACTAAAGGTTGCGAGGGCTGGTTGCCCAGAAAATATGACCCTATCCCCATGCCCGCAAAGTCAAAGCTGGTATTCGAAAGTTTGGGATCTGCATGCCCAGAGCCCGACGCACCCCAAGCCCGAAGTCCTGTTTGTGGACTTTGGTTCCAATCGTCAGCCGCGCTGCAAGTGTCATCTGACTGCCGTTGTGGCCAAGAACGTGGGACTGGCCCACTCGGCCCTGAGCTGCCATTCCTGCCCAGCACGCGGATCGGTTCTGCACCCGAGTTTTCTGTCGAGGTTGCACCTGAGTTGTCTGTTTTTTGCACCCGGTTTATGGTCATTGTGTTGGAGCGTTCGTGTCGAACCACTCTCGTTGCGGCGCCGTGCGAATGGGTCTTGACCTGCGGCGATCCTCTGCGGACATCGTGTTTTTTTTTGACTGCGAATCTGAGCTGGTGCGCTTCAGCGGGTGTGCTCGCCGTTTGGCTGAGGCGTGCGCAGTGCTAAGCGTGTGCGCTGGAGCAAGTGGCCGGGACGCAGCCCGAGCGCGTGCAGTTGCCTGGCGTGGACGCAGCGTGAGTGCTAATCGGGTGCACTGGAGAGGGTGGCCGGGATGCAGCCGTGAGCGTGCGCAGCCGAGCGCGTGCAGTTGGCTGGCGTGGACGCAGCGTGCGCGCAGTACTGGGCCGGCGCGCTTGGGCGGGGGGTGGCTGGGTCGCAGCCGTGAGCATGCGCAGCCGAGCGCATGTGGCTGGCTGGCGGAGAAGCGGAAGTGACTGAAGCGACTGATTTTCTTGGGGGGTGAAAGTGACAGACGTGCCTTCCTGCCCACTTGGAATGCCAGCCCCGAAATGTGTGAAATACGGATGAAGGCCTCCCTCATCCATCACCCCGTGGGAAGTGGCCATCTGAGAGCATTGGTTGCCAGACGACTGCCAAAGTGGCTGTTTGATTCCAGGTGAATTAGCGCAGTTCAAACTCAAAAGTCGTGATGTCTTGGGGTTCTCCACGATGATGTATCTGCCATGTTCCAACTGAAATCTTGCAATGGATGCCACAAATTCAACCATAAGCAAATGGTGTTTTCCCTTCTCATACTTCTGCTCGCTGGATGTTTTGCATATTCGACTGTGGTCCACATACGGGTGCAGTAGCACCGCTTCCAACAAATCAGGGTCAGTTGCAAGTGGCTGGAACTCAGCAGAGCACAGATTGTTCGAAACTCTTGGCCATGCTTCCTTCAAACAAAGTTTGATGACGTTTTCCAGGAGCAAAACCTGGCTGGCCCAAGCTTGATGTCCGGATTCTGGCAGGGCCTGCAGCCTGCGCCCGGCGCGAGTGCGCATCTGGCTTGAGATGGACAAGCTAATCGGGCGGCGCGCCATCGAATCCTGAAACACCAAAAAAACAGCAGAAGTGCAGCCTAGTGCGACTGCGCACCTTTCTGGTTTTCCTGCGCAAGCATTAACCAATGGGACAGTTGCCCTTCCCATCCAGATTTTCGCAACCTGCGCAACGGGGCCTTGGTCTCGAAACATGGCTACTGAAGGCATCATGAATCGAGTACATGTTAGGTCTTTGCCATCTGGTAGTTGAGCCTCTGTCAACATCGGAAACTAAAGCGAAAGAACCAGCTGCTCCTCCCTGGAACAACTCTGATGCATGACAGTGATTTCGACAGAAGCTCAGTTGCATCCGCACCTTTGGTGGGAATATCATGGGATGACTCGGGTGAGACGTGCTCCCCAGGTCCCCCACACCATGGCGTCGTTCAACTATCCCACCTCGCCGACTGAACAGGGGATGGGTCAAGTGAAGACACAGAAAGTATAGTTGTGCGCATGTGTATATGTGTATATACAGAGACATATGCATATCCACACACACAAATACACATACACATGCGCACGCGTATACATATATACGCATACAGATTCACATACATACACGCATCCACACACACACAAATACAAATACAAATACAAATACATATACATATACATATACAGATACATAGACATATACATATACAAAAACATATACATATACTGCATACACATATACATATACATAAACATGTCCAAGTACATTTAAATACCGAAACAGACCGTGTACATGAATATATACACATACATGTACGTACATATCAATATACGTATATGTAGATATACATGCATACACATATATTACACCTACAAATGTGTATCTATACATATGTATATGTCAACATCTGTATATGTGTATATCTATACACATGGATAACACCGAATCCCTCCCCCTTGCGCCCAGCGCCTGGCAAGTTCATCGTCTGACTCCGTCTGCGCCACTGGCCTGCCACTCCCCAGAAAAAAAGGGGGTGAAATGGGGCACCCAGATTGGTGGGCTTTATTTGGCAAACAAGGAGCAGCCCTGTTTTGTGCGCATGTGCAAAAAGCAAAAAAACATCCCTGATTGACAGAGCCGGTACAGACGGTGCGCCGGCTTCAGCAGGAAAATGGCCCAAGTGCGCCAACGGCTTCTTGCGGGAACTAAAAAAAACAAAACTGTGTGGCCGTCGATCTTCAGCTCCGCACTTTCCCGGTGCTGCTCCCAAAACCTGGACACACCAAAAGCTTGGCACGTGATTTTGGCGCGAGGCACACTGGGTGTCTAGCCACAGGTGCAGAATCCCGTGAGGCAGACGCACTTTGAGCTGCTGGTCGCAGCCCAGCTCCCTGAGTGAATCCGTGCATTTTCGAGAATCTGTTTCGCTGTTAAAAAAACACACAGTGATTCCTGACACCTACCCAGACCCAATGCCTCCAAAGCATTTATGCTCCCGCGCACCAAAGTTTCCAGGACATCTGGTTTAACCAAGGTTGATTTGCGGGTGCGCACCTTGGTTGCACAAGCCTGGTGACCGGACATGGGGGACGCAAACTAGCTCTGGAATCTGATCTGGTTGCAGCACGGCGAATCACTTAGCCCGCGCTTCCTGGCTCCCGAAGAATCTTCTAACCTCGACCAGATCCACCACTTCCGCGCGGTGGCCTTGGAATGGATCTGTGTGCTTTGTTCCCTGGTTGTCAGCCCAATGCTCTTGTTCCTGACATATCAGCTGAACAGCACAAGTTGTTGCAAACGCGCATGGTGTGAGTCCCGCCCTTCCGAGCAAAATGAGCACAGCACAAAGGTCTCTGAGATATGCGTTCAAAGCGTTCTTGCGATCCTCGAGCTTGTCGTCATCTCAGCGGTGTGTCTTCTCGCTTGGCGGCGTGGGCTCAGTGCATCCACGCCGACATCAACGGCAAGGACATGAAGCAAATCCCGTGACTAAGGCAGCAACTGAAGTATCGGATTGGCGTTTTCTTGGGTAGCTCCAAGGACAAAACAGGCCTCAATGGCACCAACGAGTTATCCTGAAACAGCAAGACAAAAAATCAAGCAAAGTCAGCTTTCAGCCAATCCTGGAGGGAGGGGGGGAGGGAGGAAGGGAGGGAGGGAGAGAGGAAGGGACGGAGAGGGCGAGAGAGAAAGAGAGAGGGTGAGAGAAGAAAAAAACACTCGGCAACTGTTTTGGGGCACAATCGGTGATGGTCTGAGATGCCAGCCCAAATCTGGCCTTCAAGAAGTCGTGCCTCAATTGCAAACATTATCGACGACCCATTGGAAGTTGGGAATCACATACTCCTGTCAATCAACCAGTAGATGCTATGAAACAAAACAACTGTTCATTTGATGGATAGCTGTACATCCGTCATCTGCTGCAAATGGCAAAGACTGTCCAACATTCTGTGAGGGCAGGACAAAGTCACGAAGTCAGAAAAGCGCTTTCGGACCTGTTCGCTAGCCAATGAATTGCCAAGCAAGTTCAGCCCGAGTTTCTCAGCTTGCAGCTGAGTGATATTTGCCATCACTTTGCACGCGGATGTTGAACCTCCAACACACAAGGCCGCAATCCAAAGCACTTTTCGGAACGCACCCTCTCATAACCAATCCGAGTGGCTCTATGTGAGTGCCCTCGCCCAGGAGTGGCACGCGTGCCTTCAACACCGCAAGGCCTGAACAGCCATTGGCGGATTTCACGGTGCCAATTGGTCCAGAGCCCGCGTCGTACAAACATAAAAATGGTGCAGAGCTGCGCTAAAACCTTGACAGAAACAATGCCAGCCAGTAGTCACAATCCACACCTCAAACTACACAGTTTATCTTGGGGGGGGTCATATTTGCTGCCAGGATGCCTTTTGCCAGTGGATTTTCTTGATCCACGGTTTCCTGCGTTCAGTTGATTTGTGCACAGCCAAAATCTAAGCAAATTCACCGACCAAGCCTCAACGATTTCGTACCGATCGATCCTCGGATTCCACTTGCGCGCTGTTCTGCACGTTCCTCAACCAAGGCCGGTGCTCTGCAAAAAACGATGTTGGCGTCCTCCCCGACATTGCTCAACGGGCGCGCTGAAAGCGACAATGTAGCTTGAGACACATCAAGTCTCAAGGTCATGTGTTTTTTCCCGCACACCTTTGTCGGAAAGTAACCCAAAACGCCCTTCAACCCTGGAAAACAGCGGGCAAGCGGCTGGGCGCTCCGCCCGCGCCCCAGCGCGCGTCCGCCAGGAAAGGGAATGAGGCGAGTGAAGGGAGACAGCAGGCGGAAAGTACGCCAGACTACTTCCTTGGCAGGCGGCTGGAAGAAGCTTGGGCGAGAGCCAGCGTGGAAGGGCCACGCCAAGGAGGGCCCACCGCCGCTGCCACGCAACGAAAAAAAGGAGCGGAGCAACTGGACACGCCCCAGACGGCGAACGCCTACCAACGCGCCTGCCGACCTCACAGCCGAGGACGACTAAGAGCTGCGGCCCGGAGCCTGCAAGCTCAAGGTGGCGTGCCTCCCTGTACCGGAGAAAAACCTCAAGCACCACTGTTGTTGTGGTTTTGTGTTTGTGTTTGTGTTTGTGGTTGTGGTTGTGGTTGTGGTTGTGGTTGTGGTTGTGGTGATGCTCGCAGTCGCAGCGCAGGGAGCGTTCGCTGCGAGCCTCTGCCAACTCCCCACCGACGTTGGCGACGCGTACGCCA